CCTCGTGGGTGTAGGTTCCCTTCAGGTATTGATAGGCTGCAATGAGGTCACCCCGCAGCCTTCTCTTCTCCAGGCTGAGAATACATTCTTATTTGCTTCTAGTAACTAAACAAACACACATATTCTTTTTTATTGTGTGTGGGGGGGCATTCTCTCTTTGTGCTTTTAACAACAATATACTTTTTCTGAGCAGAAGATGAGAAAACTCTGGCGAGTTTGATCATCCCAATTAACTGTTTCAGCATGACACTTGAGAAGGTATCAGACTTTCTGGAATTATGATTGGTTGGTGTAATTTCTTGCATAACTGCACTCATTTTTCCATATAGGTTTCCAAGCCCTCTACCTCCGAACAATACAGGACCTTCCTGTCCTCCTGGCAGTCATCAGTCCCAGCCAGCCTCCCCAAATGCTGTATCCACTTCATGTACACAACTTGCCAACCAGCTGAACAGCATGCAGATAAATAGCTATGGTAATCAATTTTATCTGTTTGACTCTTTTCTCATTTAAAGCTTGTAAGACTGTGATAATTAGAAATATCTACTGAACTTCTGTATAAGCAGATAATAAAATCTTTCCCTCTTTCATTTACTCAAGTAGTTGTTTTTAATCTTATCCTATTTCTTACATCAGTGTTGTTGGGTTAGTTCTGAATTAGAGCATGTTAAGCCTTCCATACATATTGGCTGCCTTATCGGTCATTTCTCATTATTTGTTTATGCTGTCAATAACAGCCAAGACATGACTAAAAATTTACAGTTTCATTTTTCTGATCTTTTTATAGTTTCCATTTCAAAACAATCTAATTCTTTTTTTTTTTTTTTTTGGTCCAAAGCTTGTAAATTTTCCATCTAAACTTGTTTGTATTTAATCCAGGGTTAGAAGTAAACTGAGGTAAGATGTGATTCTTCCATGTAAATCACTTCCATTTGTAATTTTCTGTCTGTCTAGACCCGCTTTTTCTGAATATTTCCTGGCCAATTTTACTATGGGATTGAAAAGCAGTGGAATGTAGCCAGCATCATGTTTTGCTGTGGCTGGTATGCTTGTGAGGATGAGACTGTTAAACTGAGATAACTTTGTTCATCAGTATCTCATTGAGATGAGTAAAAATGAACTTTTCAGTTTAGACTGTGTTGGTGTTCCTTCTCTGACTTTGCAAGGTACTGATTTGGGTTAAATAAAAACTTGTGTAATTGCAAAGGATCTGACCTCTGTTGTACAATTACATGTGAAAACTTCCTTCTTTGCTGTAATAAAAATAATTTAGACTTCAGCCTTTCTGTACTGAACTGCAAGTTCACAGCTAAGTCAGACTGTTCTATGCAGGATGGAGTTTGACCCAACACTCTACAGCAGCACTTCATATATAGCAACTGAAATTATTTAGAGAAGAAAGAATTGCTTTTCTTTCCTGCCTTCAGTATATTGCCTCCAGCAATGATTATATAAAATGTAATGTTCTTGCTTATCTTAGATGGAGGAGGGTTGAGATACCCTTCAGACCACTGAAGGCATTGCTTCTTTACAACTATGCCCCCATGTTCGGTTTTATTGTTATGGTTTTTGCTTAGCTAAAGCCTAAGTTCTGTAACTTGGAAGAGCACTGAAGTGGATAGCTGTTAGGACTTGTGGTGCAATGTTTATTTCTATCAGCTGAGAATCAGAACTTGTTTTCTGTGAAATCTGTTTTCAGTAAACAAGTCTGGTAGAAGATTCCAGTCCGTGAAGGGGGCCTACAGGACAGTTAGAGAGGAGCTTTTTATAAGGTCGTGTAGCAACAGAACAGGGGGGAATGATTTTAAACTGGAATACGGTAGATTTAGACTAGATATCAGGAAGAAATTATTTACTGTGAGGGAAGTGAGACACTGGAACAGGTTGCCCAGTGAGACTGGAGTTTCCCCCTCCTTGGAAGCACTCAAGGCCACGCTGGATGGGGCTTTGAGCAACCCAGTCTAGAGATGTCCCAGCCTGTAGCAGGAGGGTTGGAACTAGCTCTTAATGGTCCCTTCCAACCCAAACAATTTTATGATTCTAAGGTGCATTTCAGTATTTGTTTATTAACATTAGTCATTTTGCTGTTTTGCTGTTGTTCTTCAGGAGATGTTTGACTAAAAATGTAGGCTTCATAAAATAACAACTACAGATTTTAAGTCTTAGAAAGAAACCACTTGCAGGATCTCTTAATTTTAATTGCAATCTGGATCTTATTAACAGTATTCCTCACCAGTGTGTGCTAAGTAATTTCCACGTTTCATTTTTTAGCATCAATTCTAGAGAATGGTTGTAAACCAGATTAAATGTGTCGGTTGAACTTCCACTGAGTTTGTCGTGGTGAAATGGGAGCAACGTACTAACAAAAAAAGTAGTATAAGAAAAATTGATTATTAAGCAAAAAAGGAATGTTTCATATTAATTATACTATCAGAAGCAAATAGCGATTTACATGTATTCTAATCAAGAATTGTTGAATTGGCCTCCCTATCCTTTTCCCCATCCACCCCAGCTGCAGGGTTTATTGATAATAGAGTCAAAGGAAATGAAGTTGAACATCTGAATGAGTTCAGACTTAAGCTGTGAAATCTGATTTGTTTTGTAAACAGGCATTCAGAATCTACCTGATAAAGCACTATCAGTATGAGAGACAGTATTTGCTATGTGTATATGTTGCAGATGTGTTTTTTACTCAGTACATCTTCCACACCAAGCTAGTAGCCTATAATTTTTTAACTCATTTGACATATATATATATATAATTTCTTGCTCAGGTCCTGGTGCTATCCAAAGCTCTCACACATCTTCTGGACATCCAGCATCTTTTCAGGGTCCACAGCAACTGCCACTGACGCAGCACCAAATGACTTTACAACCTGGACCACAGATACCTCCACCAGCAAATAATTTCAGTGGCCTTTGTGCTCAGTCATCGTTGCCTAGTATGGCCAGACAGGATGGGGTCCCTGGATCTGGACTTCCAAATCCTAACTTGCAGCAACTTCCAGGACAGACTCCAGGGCCTGGATATCATCCTCAGCAAGGTAAAGAAGGATGTTAGGTGTCTAATTGAAAACAAAAAATGCACTGAGAATCGCTGTTGACCTCTCAAGTTTGATGTTCTGCTGGCTTAAAGAAATGAAAATTTAATCTCTGTTTTGTAGAATAAAAGGTTGTTACTGACAATCAGATCAGTCCATTCCATCAAAATTTCACCAGTTCCATCAGAAGAGGGGTGGCCAGCAGGGAGAGGGAAGTGATTGCCCCTCTCTACTCTGCTCTTGTGAGGACCCATCTGAAGAATTACTGTGTCCAGGTTTGGCCCCCCAGTACAAGAAAGGCAGAGAGCTGTTGGAGAGGGTCCAGAGAAGAGCCACAAAGATGACTAGAGGGCTGGAGCACCTTTCCTACAAAGACAGGCTGAGGGAGCTGGGCTTGTCCAGCCTGGAGAAAAGAAGGCTGCAGGGTGACCTCATTGCAGCCTTTCAGTACCTAAAGGGAGCCTACAAACAGGAGGGGAGTCAACTCTTTGAAAGGGTAGATAACTGCAGGACAAGGGGAAATGGTTTTAAGTTGAGGGAGGGAAGATTTAGGTTGGATGTCAGGGGGAAGTTCTTTACAGAGAGAGTGGTGAGGTGCTGGAACAGGCTGCCCAGAGAGGTTGTGGATGCCCCGTCCCTGGAGGTGTTCAAGGCCAGATTGGATGGATCCCTGGGCAGCCTGATCTAGTAATAAATGTGGAGGTTGGTGGCCCTGCCTGTGGCAGGGGGTTGGAGATTCTTGATCCTTGAGGTCCCTTCCAACCCAAAACGTTCTGTGATTCAGTGATTGGAGCATTCAAGGCAGGCTGTACTTTTGCTCAACAATTCAACACTGTTAAGAACAAGAAAAAGGAGCAAAATGATTTAGTTAGTAGTGGGTAAAGGCACAGTGTACAGCAGGAAGGAGTCATAATACTCCTTTTTATATACACCTCTTTACTATAGGGATAAAGAGTTCAAATTGAATATGCTGAATTTGTAAAAGAGCATGCTTTATTTTACCTGACACCTGTGAGTAAAACAGCTGTTTTTTTTAATCGTGAAACTTCCTAGACTAGTTTTCTTTAACTGACAGTAACAGAGAAATTCTCGCTAATGCCATAGCCTGCTCTCTAGGTGTAGTAGCTGTAATAACCCGTTCTAGCTAGTCCTATGTGACATGTACTAGAAAATGTCTGAAGCTAGAGTTGTCAAACTAAGCTAGTTTTATGCTTACTTTCAAAACAGATGCTGTGAGCCAGAACCTATTCTGATACTTGCTGAAAACAGAAAGTAAAGAGGAGCTGCATTTAGCTGAAGTAAAAATGATTTGTATGACAAAAGTTGATGTTAAAGATGGATAACAGAAATTAAATACTTTAAATCAATGGTCATTTGTAACTCTGCAGCAAACTATGGCCCTCAGATGGCAGGATCTCAACTGTCTTATCCTGGTGCTTTTCCTGGAGGTCCAGCACAGCTCTCTGGTCCACCACAGAAGAAGCTTGATCCTGACTCGATTCCAAGCCCAGTGAGTAACAGGCCACTAATTTTTTATGAATTTCTGCTGCATTGAAGACAAAGTAAAGTCAGTGCTGATATTCTAACTAGAACAGTTTGCCTAAACATCCTTCTAGGTGTTACAGCCTTGTAAGGATTTCAGTAGCTTAGAATATAATTAATGCTTCAGTTTCACACAATTCAAAAAGGTTCAGTTGTTGAAACATGCCTGAATATGCTCTGGTGGGACTTTGCCTCTTTTTAGAGTAATGACAGAGGAAAAATAAAACAAGGTGTAGTTTATCCATCTACTGCTAAATAGTCTAAGTACTACCCAAAGGAGTATCTTGTTAGATTCAGGATGTAATTAAATTGTTTTTTATTGGTAACAGTTGATCAGAGTTGGGGGGAGGGGAGGAGGAAGTGTACTGAACTCCTGGGGAGAGCACACACTGATGCACACGGTTCTACAGGTTCTGGTGATCACTTGGACACTTTGAAAGGTCTTTGGAGAGTTAGGGCTCTTGAAGCAGACTGTCTTGCAACTACAGGGCAGAACCTTCTACTAAGCTCTTCTGAGTGAAGGAATCTTCCACTCCTTTGCTGAAGCAGTACAGCTGTACAGGAAAGGACTTGTATTTTACTGTGATGAGGGAAAGCCCTGTCTAGCAGCGTGCAGCCATGCTTCCTTCTATTGGGATATTCCTTTGTTTTATCCAATGATGTTTTTACTGGAAAACTGAAAATATCCTAAGAGTAACGTTAACAACTCATTGCCTCCATTAAATGCAGTTTTCAAGTTAGATGCAATTGAAGATCACTGTGTGTTTTAATACAAACAGACAGAAAAACAACACACGCACACACCAAAAAAACCAAAGTGTCATAATTAGCAAACGTAGGCAATGGGCTTAATGGTGTTTCTGTATGGTGTTTCAGTATGGTAATTTTACATAAGAAGGATAAAATCATCATGTCTAATATATTAAAAAAAAAAAAAAGTGGTTTGAAGAGAGGGAGGTCTGGCATGTGAGCATGGACTGATTTTTTTTTCAGTTATGCACATAGAATAAACTTTACGTGACAGTGATGCTAAAATAGGTTAAAAGGTTTGTTTTAGCAGCACAGAGAGGATCAAAATGACATGTTTAAAAGCAACACCATCTGGGTCAATGTCTGAAGAGGGGAAAAAAGCTGATTAAGTATGACTGAGTGTAATTCTCTTGTTATATTTACATTACACAGTTACAATAGCGTTGTCAGATAAATTTACTTTTTATCTGTAACCAATTGTTGATGTATGTTGTTTTATATATGTTGGAGGCTGATATGTGCTCTGACAGCATCTGTGAAAATCAGCATGTGCTTTCCAAGAACATGGTATTATTTCCAAGAATGATGATATGTTTAGGTCAGTTAACTGCAGAATAACACGGTGCTATGATCCTTTGCAGAGCTGAGTCTTGAAAATAGTTTGCTTCCTTCAGCCAATGGGTGTTTGAACAAAGCCTCTTTCCCTATTCATGCAAGAGTTAGCAAAAGTAGACCAGCCAAGCAGGCAGGGAAAAGTAATCAAGCAGAAGATAGAACAAGCTCTGAGGAATGTATTGTATGTTTAAATAGCTATACAAAAACTTAATAGAGAGAAAATTTTACAGGCCCCAGATTATTTCCAGTGTGTTAGGGAATACCTCTTAAACAATGATCAATAGACTCTGCACTGACCAGTTTTGTTTTTCTTCTCTGCTTTCCAACTGAGGCTTCTGAAATATCCCAGCTATTATTAGAAAATGATGTGCAGTGTAAAGATACAATTGCATGGGATACTGGCAGCAGTGGCAAAGGCAGTTTCAGAAATTCCCAGTTTCCTTTTTTTTTTTTCTTTATTTTTTTCTCATAGCTGTTAGGCTACACTCTAAAATGTGTTGCTGAACAGAGATCTCCTTTGAGCAAAAAGAGTAATAATGGTATCTCAGTGATCCAGTTTATGGTGTGGACTAGTGTACAGCTTTATATATTTTATTCTGATAAGTATTAAACAACATGAAGGACTGTGCAGAAGTGACAGTATTAGAAAGTATATATAAAGGGAATTTGTTCAGTACTAAAGCCAGCTTCATGAGTATGTAATGAAAATACACCAAAGCTTGCTGTAAACTAGGCATCAACCAGAATAAATCTGTACACGATCAGAGCTGCCTCTCAAGAAGTTTTCTATGATTGCTCTTGTTTATTTTATCCTGGGAGGAAGCTCTCAACATGGGGCCGGCTCAGGGATTGAGAACACTGAGCTCCAGTGCTGAAATACTACTTAGTGGCCAGCAAGAATTTCTTGGGGATTGAAATTACTGCTTTCTAAATGACAGTGCTGAAAATAGCTCAGCAAGGAAGGTGATGTACTACATAGGTTATCATTCAAGTCTTAACCGTCCTGTGGATGGAGTCTAGCAGAGGAGCTAAGGGCCAACTCTTCTTACTATTGCAGTCTAATAAATCACCTGCATGCTGATTTATCAAGAGCAGCTGCTGGCACAGTTGTGGTAATAGAAAATACAACCTGGAATATGTGGCATGTGAGTCAGGTGATGCAACCTGTTGGCACTTTAGTTTGATTTCAGAGTATGGAAGACCTGATGCAGTAGCAAGGATGTATTTTTACATAATCACTTTTCTTGATTTGCTGGCTAGACTTTCTTGAAAATGTCCGTCCTCCTTGCAGTCAACATACTCTGAACAATTCACTTGCTCACTACACAGTGGTCTGGTCAACCCCTATGTGTAACATTTCCTCTGCAGAGTTCCAACAGGCAACTTTCTCTTTGAGTTATACTGTCTAGTTCTTGACTGCACTAGAAGTTTGTATGTGAGAAGTTAATGGGACACTTGTATAAGAAAATGTCAATAGATTTACTTGGCGTAGATGTTAATGGTTTATGAATGTACCTGAATGCGTGGCTAACCTTTCTCATACTGTTCTCGCTTCTTATTCATCAGATTCAAGTAATTGAAAGTGATAAAGCTTCTAGGGGAGGGCAGATGTATGCTACAAACACAAGAGGACAGGTTCCTCCTCTTGTCACCACTGACTGCTTTATCCAAGATCAAGGTAACTGTCTTTGTTACTGCTTTGGGAATCTTCTTAGGTAAAAGCAAATGAATATATGTATATATATGAGTAAATTCTCACATGATCTAGAAATGGTGCTCCTTAGTCTTGAATTGAACATGGAATGGGAAGGTCATTCCCTTTGGAGGGGTGGAAAAAAGGAGAAGTGGAACAAATGGGAATTGAATTCTCACACCTTTGGTTAACTCTAGTGAAATCCCTGAGATTGCCTTACCCCCATCTCTGTGCTTGCTGATATTTAAAATAATAATTGACACATTTCTTTTCAGTTTGAACATTTTCAAGGTTTTCAAGTTGAAAAGCATCATCAAATTATTCTGAAACTTTAAGAGATAGATATTAACAAGAAGCAATGAGCCTGGCACTGTTGTACATTAAGATATAAATTTTGGAATGTTTTGTTGAGGTTATAGGGACAGAGCATGAGCTGCCTAGTTGGCTTAATGTTTTCATTTGGTTGTGTATCTAGTTTGCTTCTGCCTAGAGCCTGTAAATACCATATTGCACGTGTTGCTCCTGGCAGCAGACTTGATACTTTAATACAAACTGAACTGATAGTATAATTTAGACCAGCATCTATATCTCAGCCAGAAAAAAATTTGCCTACAGGAGGAGGCAATAGACTGACATAAAGAGATGATAAGGGCAGAAGCTTGCACAGAACGAAGGAAAGCATACATTTAATTTAGGAATCTGCACTTGTTGCTTTGTTTTTAATCTTGGTATGTTTTTGGAACAGACAGACTCCTTTTCTCTCTTATTGTGGCTGCTTTGTTGGGTGTTCTAGGTCATGCCAGCCCTCGTTATATCCGATGTACTACCTACTGCTTCCCGTCATCTTCAGATATGGCCAAACAGGCTCGCATTCCACTGGCAGCTGTCATCCAGCCTTTTGCTATTGTTCCACAAAATGAGGTAAAGTCTAATGAAGTATCAGTCCCATGTGATTTTGTCTCCTAAATGCTACTGACTTCTTTGAATGGGATGGAGGGTGCCTTATCTCTGACTGAAGGAATTAGAGACGTGAGAAAGAGCCACAGGAAGGCTATGAGTTGCACTTAAGTCAGGATGCAACTTTAAGGGGTAAAAGTCTTTGGAAAGATACAAGAGAGATACTTATGTAAACTACTAGTTTTTGGTGTTGCCCCATCAGTCCCTAATTTACTGTCAGTTTCTGGAATTATATAGGTATAGGCAGAGATGTTAAGAGTATAGTCACGAGCTGTATCAAGATATTTTAGGGTTCAAATTATTACAAGGACAGTTACTTTCAAACTATCATTTTGTTCTCGACAATTTGTAATGCTATAACACAATGCAAAGCATAGCAATGACAGCATATTAGCAAAGTCCTGGGCTGCAGCAGGTGAGGATATGCCCAAATGCAACAGCTGTAGATACAGAAACAAAGGAAAGAATCTGCTTACCTTTGGAAGGCCTCAGGTAGGCAGGGATCTCTAGCAAGATACCCTTGCCTTCACTGACGACCCTTAAATGAGGTCTGGGAAGGGGGTAGATCCTGGTTCCACCCCTTCCTGTTACTCAGATGTATTACATGCACCTGAGCTCCCCTGGGCTGGCCTTGCCCTCCCACCAGGAGCTGAGTATCTGGTTCAGGCCATGACTAAACATTTCCACTACACAATTTAATTTATTTTCAAAATAGCCTAAGATGAGAGGGACATTTTCTACTTGGTTGAACTGAGCCAGAGGAAGAAGACAAATGTAACCACACTTCTTGGTACTCATTTGGAGACATTAACCTAGTCAATTGATTTTCTTGCATTACCATCTTTAATAGTCCTTCATATTCCAAACACAGCCCTAGTTCATTTGCAGAATACTCCACAGATTGATAATGTCCTGTGGTCTCGGGACAGTTGCACAGATTTTCTGGCATTCCCAGTGGACTGCATCAGTAGCAGGGATACAGTCAGTTCTTAAATGCAGCACTTAATTGCATCATCCGTAGGGCTGTCCTTTCTTACCTTCAACTGGCTGCCTCCTTCGTTGCAGAACTTTTAAGTTCTGCAGCTGATGTTCTGCAGACAGCATTTCCTTTTTCTATGCAACTCTTACTAGCTTTCAGAGCATTGCTTGCTAGAAAAAAAAAAAAAAAGCAAACAAGAATGTCATGTATGTTACTGTATTTGATTGTGTCTTCACAAATTCTTTCATAAAACATAGACACAGAAAAGCCCAATTAAAATTACATAGACTTTCAGTTTTTGCAGTTGTTGATTTTCTTGAATTTTGTTTTATTGCTTGTAAATTCTTTGTTTTGTTTTTAAATAAGTTAGAAAGAAAACAGATGCTGTTCTTTGTCAGGATGGATAATTTCCAATCCAACAGATCTCTGTAATTTGAAGTTTGATTTTAGCAGAGCAGTATGTAGTTATCTTCTCTGGGGTCCACAGGGAAATAGCATGTATTACTTGCAGTTCTGCAGATTGTATGTGTCACCATTTGTCTACTAGATAGCAATTTTGATTTTTGTTCTAGTTCTTGAAGGGAATGTGTGGACCTGGCTTCTTGCCCGCTGCATTTTCTCCTAGATGAGATTCCTGCTGTTGCTTTTTCCACATCTTCACCTTACTAGCCAACCTTCCTTCTTTAGTACTCTCTACAGTTTCTGTACCCACACAGCATATATCAGCTCTGCTGTCATGTTGACGCCTGTTTCCATCTTTCACTTTGTCTGCTTCTAGTCATTTATGCTTACCACATGTGGCTTCCCTGTCTCCTGTGGAGTGTTTGGATAGGGTGATCAGTGAGTTGCTAAAATCTAAATCTGCTGCATACGTAAATTAGCAGTATGTGCTAACAGTTACACTTGGCCAAGTTCAGGAAGATTTTCCCAGGGTTGGCAAAAAGTTGTATGTGATGGCCCATTAACTCTGAAGAGTTAGGGGAAAGGTCAGCAGGATTCATTATCTGTAAAGAGCAGTGTGGTTTTAACCCTGCTTCTTTGTCAGAAGGGACTAGAAAAATATCTCTCATAAGTGGCAAAAGTCCATTGTGGAAAATTTCCATGTGAACAGCTGTAGCTTGATAGAGTTGTAAGAACTGAAGAAATAGTGTTACAATAGGAAGTACTGGAGAGTTTTAGCTGAGACAGTTTTTCCAAGACTTGCCTATGCCCTTTATCTTCACTGCTGCTGCCAGAATAATTTCTTAGTCTTAAGATCTCATAACAAAAATGGTCTTCCACGTGGGGTTTATAACCACTTTAATTCTGGAAAGCCAATTAATTTGAAAGAATGGAGCTTTTTATGGAGGTAAAATATATTCAAGGGTTTGCTTGTGTTTCTGAATTTCCTACTATGGTGCTTTCTGCTTGGAACTAATGACTGAAAGGCACAGAGTGTTCTTTCCAAATATCTTGCCTATCTCATGGATGCTTTTTTTAACAGTGCCAGCAGGTGATGTTCAACACATGTTACAGAGCTTTGTTCTGAGTGCAGATCTGTCTATTATCTCAAACTATTGATAAAAAGCATGCCATATAATAGTAACTTAAAAATCATGATTTTTTTTCCTAACCTTTTGATTAATAGTTCTCATTCCTTCAGTTTTGTTGCAGCCTTAGCTGCAGATCTGCCTCCATTTCTAATATGTGCTAGCACACAGAATTTGAACTCTATCTCTTTTCAATTGAAAAATGAAGAAAAATAATAGTTAGAAAAGCTTTTCTGGACCAAAAGCTGTGAAATGCCTACAAGTGGTATGTGCAGCTGGTAATGTGATTAGGAAGAGTTGAAAAACTGACCTATCTGGATTTCAGCAAATCCATGTGCTCTGCAGAATCTGTTGTGATGCACATTGTGTAGAGCCCATTTTTCTGTGTTGGTAAAGATGTGTTTAAAAAGCTGCGTACTTTTCAAAGTCATTTGAGCAACTGATACACTTGCAAGTATTCAATAAATATAATTCTTAATTATTTTTCTCTTATGGTTGACGAATTTGAAATAGTATATAAAATATGTTTGTATTTTCAGTGGTCTTATTGTCATAGAATGTATGTAATTCTTCTCTATGCCATTTCCTTATTAGGGCAGTTAGAAATAATGGGAAAAAGCTTACCTTGCTTATAGACAATTAAGCATACAGTATGGTCTTCACATGGCTTGCTCACCCTTTCTGCAGTCTTGAGTGTGGGTTTCAATTTGCTGAGAGGACTGTTGTTTGCATGAGTGAAGCACGATGGTTCTGTTCAAGTGAATGGCATTGGAAAGTATGGGCCATCTTTTCTCCCATCTGCGCTTTATGGATGCAATTCAGATCACACTGTGCTGAAACAACAAACATTCATTTAAAAAAAAAAGTTAATGATAATAGGCAAGTCTACTCCCACCAGTAGATACAGATATGTATATGAGAGGAAGAGCACAGTTGTACAAACTTTTTTTCCTCTTTTAATTGAACGCAGTCACCGTTTTGGCACGTGACTTGTAAGTGGCGTAGTTACATGTTGGTGCAGTTGGAGGGTTATGCACTCTGAGTGTCTCCTGCTGGCTGTAAAGCGTAAACTTAAAACAGCAGAGCACTGTGCTGAATGCTTATTGCCTCTGCAGGCAGGAGGAAGGAGTGCCTGAGGGATTCTTCATTTATAGGAACAGGGAAGCAGAACTGGGCTCTCTGGTGGAGTTACATGTGGGCTGGAGATGATAGCCATCACTTTGCAGTCAAATCTGTTTTGTTCCTGCTCCTCATCAGTAAGGAGATCCTCTGAGAAGTTTCACAAACTATCCCTGTTTGGAATTTACTGGCAAAGAGGCTATGTTAATTTGTATAGCTCTTAAATTAAACTAGCTTCTACAGGTTATGCAGCATTCTATTCTGACAAACAGATTTTTACTTTGCCCCCCCCCCCCCCTCTTTTCGTATTTTACTCTGAAGGATCAGTAGTGTTCTGTCTGACAGAGCCTGAATGTCCCCAGAAGTTTTGGAATTCATACCTGTCATGAATTCAAAAATCTCTTCAATTTTATTTGTGGAAACAGCAATCAACTGGAACTTGAGCTTTACAAGTTTGTTTTTGATCCTGTGAGTTTTCAATTATAAGGTTTAAGTCCAGTAGTTTTCTCAGGAATACTTTTTCCAGTCTGAAGGTCCAGTTTGGACAAAGAAAATTTCAGGGCTTCAGTACGTATGAAAAGCAGATTGAAGTTTAGTAGGTCACTGTGGGTTCTTGTGGCAAAGGTGGAGTGTCACATGCACAAACACACCTTGGGTTCCATCTCCAGAAGTGACATTAGAACTGTTGCCTTCTGCAGGGAAAAGATTATTTTGTGAAATGAAGTCTAGGAAAAATATCCCTTAGGAGCTGAGAAATACAAAAGCGTGAGCTGGGGTGTTTTTTGAAGATATGTACAACAGATATCTCTATTCTCATTAAGGAATGGGATACAAGTTATCCCTGTGGGAGTAGATAGGAACACAGAGTGAAACCAACACAGTGCTAGGTAAAGATGTTAAACGTAAATATTTATGCCTTTAAATCAGTACAGCATGTTTCATGAAAACAAAAAACAAGACAAACCACACCAGGATTTTTCTCTGCAACAAGAAGGGATCTTGAAAAATTAGAGAAATATTGTGCGTAGCGATTGGACAGATCAAAATGATGGGAAAGGCATTACAACAGAGGTGTGATAATGGAAGGACCAGCACGATAGGAAGGTGCTATAAAGGAAGGGAAGAAGGTTACTCACCTGATTCAGAAAATTTTAGGTTCACAGGGCAAAGCTTCACCAAGGAAGGATCTCCAACCAGAGATCCTCCCCCAGTGGCAGTCAGCCCTTCAATGAGGTCTAAGAGAGGTGCACCAGGCTCCACCCCTTCAGGTCACACAGCTGAATTGCCTTCACCTGTGCTCCCAGGGCTGACCGGGTCCTTTCCCCAGGTGCTCAATC